CCCCACTGTGAACAGCCTCTCTCCAGCTTCTTTGGAACCTCCCTTCAGGAAGTTGAAGGCGGCTCTCAAATCCCCCCTCACTCTTCTCGTCTGCAGACTAAACAGACCCAAGTCCCTCAGCCTCTCCTCGTAGGTCATGTGCTCCAGCCCCATTATCATTTTGGTCACCCTCTGCTGGACCCTCTCCAATGCGCCCACATCCTTTCTATAGTGGGGGACCCAGAACTGGACACAATATTCCAGATGTGGCCTCACCAGTGCCAAATAAAGGGGAATAATCACTTCTCTGAATCCGCTGGCAATGCTCCTCCTAATGCACCCCAATATGCCATTTGCCTTCTTGGCTACAAGGGCACACTGTTGGCTCATATCCAGCTTCTCATCCACTGTCATCCCCAGGTCCTTTTCTGCTGAACTGCTGCTTGGCCAGTTGGTCCCCAGCCTGTAACAATGCTTGGGATTCTTCCGTCCCAAGTGCAGGACTGATGCTCCCTGCCCCTCTTCCCTCCCCCAGCTACCTAGCTGGCTGTTAGTGAGGCTCCCTCCAGCCGGGCATGGAGTAAAGAGGAACTCACAACCTCCACAGCTCCACTCCGGCCCCAGGGAACCCCCCAAGCTCAGGTAGAAGCCATGGGGGGGGACCCCCAAGCCCCAGGCGGAAGCCATTCAGGAGGGGAGTTGAGTGGAAAGGGAAGCCCTGAGCCTCAGCAGAAGTCACACATGGGGGGGGCTCATTTGTATGGGGGCCCATACAATGTAAGGACGGCTCTGGTCTCTGGGGCCTGCCATGCCCATCATACTAGCATGGAGACCGAGACCTACAGAAAGAGAGGGAGGGGAGTGCTTGAAAGTGGTTGAAACGGTGATAAAGAACGTACCTACCAGCCACACGGAGGACCAGGGTTTGTTGGGGAAGAGTCAACACGGCTTTTGTAAAGCGAAGTCACCTCCCCAGTCTACTAGAATTCTCCAGGATGAGGGGGGGTGTCAGCAAATGTGTGGACAGGAGATACAGTGTGCTTGGCCTGTCAGAAACTTTGATACGACCCCTCATCAGAGGTTGTAAAGCCAAGTGAGCAGTCATGGGATAAGGTCCTCTCCTGGATCGGTGGTTAAGAGCTAGGAAACAAAGGATAGGAATAAATGGTCAGTTTTCACAGCAAAGGGAGCTCGATAGCGGGGTCCCCCAATGAGCTTCACTGGGATCAGTGCTGTGTGACAGATTCGTAAGTGTGCTGGAAAAATGGGTGCGCAGTGAAAAGGCAAAGTTTGCAGATGATGCCAAATTAGTGATTAGCACAGCAGACGGCCAAGGGATCTCAGAAAACCGGGTGGGTGACTGGGCGAGGAAACGCCAGATAAAATTTAATGTAGATCAGTGCAAAGTAGTGCACATTGGAAAGCACGATCGCAATCATGCATACAAAGTCATGGGGTCTAAATTGGCTGTTAGCAGTCAGGAAAGAGATCTTGGACTCATGGAGAGTTCTCTGAAAGCATCTACTCTGCATGCAGCGACAGTCAAAATGGCTAATAGACTGTTGGGAACCATTAAGAAAGAGATAGATAAGAAGACAGAAAATATCATATTGCCACTATGTAAATCCATGGGATGCTCAGACCTTGAACACTCTGTCGTTTTGTTCACACGGTCTGAACAAGCTATATTAGAATTGACAGGAAACCTGAGAAGGGCAACAAAAATGCTTAGGGGATTGGACAGCTTCCATCTGAAGTGAGATTAAAGACTGGGACCATCAGCCTGGAAAAGTGATGACTGATGGGGGATACGATAGAGGGCTATAAATATATGACTGGTTTGGAAAAGATGAATAAGGATACATTGCTTACCCCTCCATGTCACACATGAATCATGGGCCACCCAATGAAATTAACATGCAGCAGGTTTAAAACAAACCAAAGGAATTACTTCTTCCCACAACACACAGCCAATCTGTGGAACTCCTTGCCAGGGGATGTTGTGAAGCCGAAAGTATAACTGGGTTGAGTCAGATAAGTACCCAGAAGTCAGCTACTGCAAAGACAGGCCCAACAAGGAAAATAACAGACTACCACTGGTTATCACCTGCAGCCCCCAGGTCAAAACCCTCCAATGCAGCATTGACAATCTACAACCTATCCTGGAAAATGATCCCTCACTCTCACAGGCCTTAGGAGACAGGCCAGTCCTTGCCTACAGACAACCCCCAACCTGAAGCAAATCCTTTCCAGCAACCATACATCACACCTCAAATACACTCACCCAGGAACCTACCCCTGCAACAAACCCTGATGCCAATTCTGTACACACATTTAGACAAGCGACACTATCACAGGACCTAATCACATAAGCCACATCAAGGACTCATACAACTGCACATCCTCTAATGTGATATATGCCATCAAGTGCCAGCAATGCCCCTCTGCCATGGATATTGGCCAAACTGGACAGTCTCCATGACAAAGGATAAATGGACATAAATCCGACACATTCATCTGGTCAACTTCGGTCATCTGAAAAAGCGAGCTGTGCCCATCAAAGCTCATGATACCATCTACATGTTTTGTTAGTCTATAAAGTGCTACCAGACCATTTGTTGGTTTTTACACATAAACATGTAAGAGAACATTTTAACCCACTCAATCATTGATTTAAAAGTAGCCGTTCTTCTACAAAGGAATTTAACTAAATAACTACAGAGAGTCTGCAGAACTGGAATTTATTCACAGATTTGACACTGTTACCCTGGGCTTAAACAAAGACATTCACTGATTGGTGCGTTACAAAGCCAATTTGTCCTGCCATTAATATCTGCATTTCTACATCAAAAGCTATGTATGGGACACATCCAGCTCACTTAATTAGCTTCGTTAACATGGGTCCTACAATTGACAGGTACTTCTTCTGCTGTTTTATATTAGTTTCTGTTATTTCCACTCCAACTCGTCCGATGAAACTTAAAAAACAACAAATAGTTTTGCAGCACCTTAGAAACTAACAAGACAGGTAGACTAGATGAAGTGGGTTGTGCCTATGAAAGCTCATGATTAGGCAGGTCAACATTGCAAATGAGACAGGGATTTAAATATCGCGTGCCTAATTTGCATAAAAATGGCCACCACGTTTTGCCGATTCAGCACCTCCTTGCAGGAGGCATAAGGGATCTGTCGAAAAAGGTACACACATCCCCTCTTTCTAGGAGCTATGAAGGCACTGGAAAACTCTTAAGTTTTTTTAGCAGGTAATTTAGCAGTTGGCTGACAGGAGCACTGTATCTAATTCCTATATAAAAGAAAGAAAATTAAATAAATATCAGACCCACTTAGCTCTAATACTAACATTGTCTAATACAGCAATTCCTCATTTAACACTATAGATATGTTTCAGAAAATGATCGTGTTAAGTGAAAATGTGTTCAATTTTCCCATTAAAAATAGTTGCGTTTCAAGCGGTGGTGTCTGTTGGGACCGGGACATAAGGTTGGGGGAGAAAGAAGACTGGGTTATAGCAGGGAGGGGAGGTGTCTGGCTCTGGGGAAGGAAAGGGGAGGAGAGAGGAAGGGGATTGGGTTGGGGGAATGCCTCTATGACGGGTCTGCCGGGACCCGCATTGTGTCCGGCGAGGGGGAGTCGCCGGGGAACAGCGCCGCAAGTGGCGAACCCTCCGTTGCTTTGCAGGGAGGCAATGGGCCGGCTGGGGAAGTCGTGTTATTCTGGGGACGGTCGTGTAATTCAAAAAACGTTCCCCCAAAAAATCGTGCTATTGCGAAATCGTGTTAAGCAGGCACGTGTTAAATGAGGAATTACTGTACTAACATGGTCTGTGCTCTTTATTTGAAAACTGGACTCCCTAAACTCCATTCATCTGAAGAAGTGGGCTGTGCCCACGAAAGCTCATGAGACCATCTGCATGTTTTGTGAGTCTCTAAGGTGCTGCAGGGCTATTTGTTGTTTTTTAAGTTTTTCCAGTTACAGACTAACAGGGCTACCCCGCCACCCCCCGAAACTAACATGGTCTGACATCTTCTCACAAGTCACTTAAGGGACACTTGCCAGCCTTAACATTTTAATATCTGTTCTTATTTTGTTACTAGATCTGTAGACAGAGAGATTGTCAGGACTCCTTGGCACTCAACTCTGGAAACAGAGTGGGGTTCAGTGCGTTATGGCAGGGGCCAGATACAGCTGGGTTCTATATAAGAACGTTAGAACGGCCATACTGGATCAGACCAATGGTCCATCTAGCCCACTGTCCCGTCTTCCAGCAGTGGCCAGAGCCAGGTGATTCAGAAGGCATGAATAGAAGAGGCAGTCACCATATGATCCATCCCCTGTCCCTCATTCCCAGCCTCTGGCAAACAGAAGCGAGAGATACCATCCCTGCCCATTCTGGCTAGTAGCTATTGATGGACCTATTAACTTATTTTGTTCTTACTGGAATCCTCTTATCGTTTGGGCCTTTTTACCATCTTCTGGTGAAGAGTTCCACAGGTTGACCAGGAAGAAATAATGTCTTTTGTTTGTTTTAAATCAAAACATATAAATGTCTTTGGGGCAGCTTCTTGTGTTATGTTAGTGAAGGAATAAATAACATCTCCTTATTCTATTTTCCCACACTATTCATGATTCTTTAATCCTATAACATATCCCCCCGCCCTTTAGTCATTTATTTTCCAAGCTGGAAAGTCCCAGTCTTTTAAATCACTCCTCACGTGGAAGATATTTCTTACCCCTAATCATTTCTGTTGCCCTTTCTGTACCTTTTCCAAATCCAATAGATTTTTTTTTAAAGATAGGGCAACCAGAAATGCATGCAATATTCAAGATGTGGGCAAATCATGACTTTATGTAGAGGCAATATATTTTCTCTCTCATTACCTATTTCCTTCCTGATGATTTCCAATATTTGGTTAGCTTTTTAGATTGCTACTGCACACTGAGCAGATATTTTCAGGAAACTATCCACAATGATTCCAAGATCTTTCTTGAGTGGTAACAGTTATTTTAGACCCCCCATCATTTTTGTAGGCATAGTTGATACTATATTTTTCCATGTGCATTCACCTCACTGATTACCCCTTTTTCAAGATCATCTATTACATATTTGAGTGAGTTTGTCTGTCTATCCATCTGTCTGTTTGTTCAAGAGCTTCTCCTAAATAGAGCTATGACCACCAAATTTGATATACAACTTCCTTTGATCATAACTCAGAGCAGGGCTACTCAACTTTGGAAGACACAGGGGCCACAATGATACTCACAGCACATGCCGAGGGCCACAACTTAAATGTGGTTGCAAATACATGCAAATATATATGCAAATATATGCAAATAGCATCTCACACTGATGGTTATGAATAGAAAGATTAAGGCAAAACGTAGGGCCCATCTAAGTCAGCTCTGCTGATATTAATTAAGTGCAATATATACCCGATTTCCACCCATCTGACAGCACTTTTAATGAGCAATGACAGTCCAGGAATTTAACTACTAAAACACATATCAACAGAAGACCATTATATTGACTACTTTTTTGTTTTGGCTCCCACCCATGGGCTGCAAACAAACAGGCCACAGGCCACATGCGGCCCATAGGCCATGTGTTGAGTAGCCCTGACTTAAAGCAAGGTCAGGGTTTGGTTGTGTCAGGAAAATGGGATGTGCATGGAATGGGATGAATTGCGTCTCAGAAAACCATCCAGAAAAGAAAAAGAATCATAAGGCAGGTAAAAGGGTCTGGCTGGGGGTGCTTCTCCCTCCCCCGAGATTGCCCAAGCCTCTGCACCCTTTAAGGAGAGCAGTGGGCTGCTACAGGAACATTACTGGCTGTTCCTCTTTGTCAGGGAGCAAGGGGGAAAGTGCACAGCTTGCTGCATTCCTCACTCTGGCTGGGGAGTGCAGGGGGCAGATGAACCAGGACTCACACTCCTCCCCAAACAGCATGTGCCTGGAACAGGATTCTCATGAAACCAAACTGAAAAGAGACAGAATCACCAAATCAAGTACAGGCCTCAAAACTGACAAAACAGAGCAAATGTAGGAAATGAGCTCAGGGCAGGCCGAGGGAGGGTAGGGGCTCAGGGCAGGTATGTAGGAGCCACCTCTGTTTGCTGTCCCCAGCACAGGCTGGGTCTAGAGAGGGCTGTGCCTCCGCCCTAACTGTGGAGCTCTGTGCTGGAGCCAGGGGATGGGGGATGCCCCCCCCCAACCCCAACTTCATCTGCTCCATGCTGGGACCAGAGGAGGGGGCACCTCTCCCCCAGCATGAGGGATAGCTCAGTGGTTTGAGCATTGGCCTGCTAAACCCAGGGTTGAGTTCAATCCTTGTGGAGGCCATTTGGGGCAAAAATTTGTCAGGGATGGTACTTGGTTCTGCTGTGAAGGCAGGGGACTGGACTCGATGACCTTTCAAGGTCCCTTCCAGTTCTAAGAGATAGGCAATCTCCATTATAAAAATATATATATATATATAAAAAAAAAGCCATGGCACCCAACTGAGAGCTGCTACTGCCAGGGGACAGGTGGTCCTGTCCTTACATGGCCTCTCCCCAGATTAACTTGGACCTGCCCCAGCCAGGGGATTTGCACCCCTCTCCAGCTGTGCCCACTGAGCAGCCAGGGAGAGGCACTTCTCACCTGGCTCCAAGCTGCTGAGGTGAGAGAGGGCTGGGGTTGTCCTCAGGGCAGCCTGCAAATTGTCTCCCCCAGCCCAGAGAAATGATTTAAGTGAAGTGGGTACATTTTCAATTTACTTAAACAAAAAATTAACCTGAGCAAGGCCGGGTAAATCTTCTAGTTTATGAATAAGTTGAACAGCAGTGCTCCAGGAACACACCACTATTTATAACTACTCTGTCCCCCCCCCCTTCTTTCAAGTGGACTGCTTGGCAATGTTTTCATGATCATCTAAGGATCCCTCAGTTACCTGAAGGACAAGCCCTTTTCTCTTACTCAGCCTGCCTCCCTCTGCTTATAAACAAACTCCCTGCCCCCAAATACCAAGCTGGGAGCAGCACCAACTCTGGTGCGCTTAAGAGCTGCCTCTGGAGCTAGGGCAGGTGCCAGACCTCAAGTATGAAATCCAGGAGTCCAAACTTTAGGTGGGGCTACAGTCTCCCCCCTCCCCTGCTCCCCCCTTAAATGGCACCCTTGACGGAAGGGGGCAGATACACAGTAGGGCAGGGGGTAAACCATCGAGGCAGTCAGTGTGGAAGCAGCTCTGGAAGCGGTGGGGGTCCATGCGGAGTGGTGGTGGAAGAGTCAGGGAGTGGAGACCTCCCACGTGCTCTGTGCTTGTGTGTGTGTAGAACCACGTGGTCCTGTTTCCTTCCCTTCGGTTTAATGAATGGAGCCTGGCGCTCCCTGAGCGCATGCGCCGTCCCCGCTCTCCTCCCTCCTCGGAGTCGTCCCCGCCCCTCCGGCAGGGACGTCGGCCAATAGCAGCGGGG